GCATGTATGCTGGATGGCTAGATCTTCCGATCGAGCTGACGGGCTGGCAATATGGGACTTCTACCTGATTCCACTGGAGCCTCCGATGCCCGATCATCGATACGTCAGTGATCCTGACTCACAACTAGTATGTTTTTACAGTTTTCATCACTCAAGATATTTAGACATTCATTCATTCACTGATGACTTGAACTTGTGTGTGCAGCTCCCAGGAGTATGCTGAGGGGTTACTCAGAGTGGTGGCTTCACTCGAGGGCATGGTTCTGCAGAGGGAGACGATGCTTTGTGCTCCGGCGTTCAGGTACTTTTTCAATTTCCTCGCATTTATCATGCTTCTTGGTGACATATGAGAAACTGAACATTTCACTGTATTGATTCATTGCATTGTGTAGAGTACATCTGACACATCGCATTCACACACTATATCTGCATGCACCCACTCACATCTGCATTTGATATATATACTAACTGATGTACTCAAATTGTCCTTTTCAGGTCCCGCTCTTGCGGACTGGGCCATCCAGGCCTTCTCGAGCAGCTGGGAGAGGAGTCTCAGCACGCGGCCGAGGGGGACGCAGGCACCTGATGAACGGGATGACGAGTCTAGCGAGGATGAGGAGTCAGTACATGTCACGACCCAAACCCGCCCGAGAAGGTTGGCATCGTAACCGGCCAGTAATCCTAGATTTACCACAGGCCTTTCTGTACAAAACATACACAACCGGGGCTTGCGGAAGCCGAAAACAAAACACTAATAGTCCAAAGAGCTGTGCATTTATATGAACATACATTACATGCCAAAAATGTTAAATTTACCCACTACATTACATCACATATAATCAAAATTCATGTACAAAACATAGGCTCACGCCACATGTACAGCCAAAACCAAGCTTCCCTAATGGCCTTCGAGCCTAGCCCCATCTCGGAGGCACAAAACACACGGGTAGGCTTCAAAACGGCGGCTCAGCTCGGACTCCGCCTAGGCTTGACTCCCAGAGTGCTCACCTATAATACATATACAAATAATGAGCTAAAGCTCAGCAAGTAACATTAAAGTAAAGGGGTAGTGAACGCATTCCACATTTCATATATCCATAAAGTAAATCATCATAGACATAATATCTCCCATATTGAGAACATACATAATGGATACTCCATAGAAAAACATTTGTCGTCCAACGACTAGAGTAACCAGTCCCAGGACACCGATTAAACACATACCGAGATCTTCGTAACCTGGTCCACTTAGGACTATCTATGGATGCCATACTAGATTCGCAAAACTGGAATTTCGTTCACAGAAAACATTTATCATTTCAAAACATAGCATAACGTAGCACTTTTAAACATAGATCATACTAACATATTTTTACAGAAATGTTACTCACAGTGGGTTTCCAAAACCGATTGCACGGTCTTCGCCTCCTGACCTGCAATTATTAACATTAGAACACATTATCATAGAAGAAAGTGTTCATGCCATACTATCCTTACTTTACTCTATTTTATGATTATGAGATGCTAAAATGATGGCAAATGACATGTGAAAATCATGTAATTCAACTTCTCAAAATTTCCTGAAATAAGTCCCCCGCTCGGAGCGGACTGCACAATTTTCCAAAACTGCTGGGAGGCCGATTTTCACGCTCGAGCGGGAATACCTCCGCTCGAGCGGACCACGCGAAATCCGAAATTCTGAAATCTTCCAAAGCTTGGATTCTTTCCTTTTTGCAAAACCACTTCAAAATGATGAAACCCAAGTCCCAAAACACTTGACCAACAACTTAGATTAAACATCAAATCTCTCAAAACAACCACATGAATCCTTTACAAGATCAAACTTTGAATTAAAATAGAAACCATGATCATGTACATACAAGCTTCATTTCTTACATCCATGGAGGTTCTCCCTCAAATATGCAAACATGCAAGGAAACCATGATTTTGACCATGAACTTCATACTATTATGCCATAATCTTGAGATCAACATGCTAGAGGCCAAGAAGCAACAATCTATTTCATGAAAATCTTACCTTAGATGGTGAATTGGAGAAGTTAGCTTGTTTTTCCCCCTTTGCTTCTATCTTCTTCCCCTTGGTTTCTCTCTTCCACGAATTCACTCTCTCTCTCCTTTCCAGATTTTTTTTCTTCTCTTTTGTTTTTGAGTCAAACATAGGTCAACATCCTTATCTTAAGTCATATTTTATAAAATTGTGCCATAAACTCAAGCCAAACGGGGCTTAACGAATCAGACGAAATTCCAGTCCTCAATTTATCGTCCCAACGGGTTCTAAAATTTCCCGTATCACATAGGCGTGTTCAATTTCGTTTTCCGAACCCATTATGGCTGTCAATTTCAGTCCCGAAGTTGTAGTCTCAACAGATATTTTTTTTTTTTCCAATTCAAACAGATATTCTTCAATTAATTTCATATGAACACATAATGAATTACGGATATTTGTGACATGCGTTTCGGGGTCATTACATACATCCCAGTCAGAGACATCTGCAGGCTGGGACGATGACTCTAGTTCTGGTTCAGAGGGCGGAGGTGACGCCGATGAGGCTTCCGAGGATGGTAACTCTGATTCAGACGGAGATGCCGATGATGGTGCGGCGGGGGCTGCTCAGCCGAAGAGGGGGACGAGGGCCTCTCAGTCTTGAGCTTGACAGCGCTGATGCGGATGCTCCTGCTTTATTTTTCTTTTTACATGTAGTTGTAGCACATTGTAAACAGCTTAGGTAGTTTTATTTTCTTTCTCCTTTCAAGTCAGGGGGATCCCTTCAGTCCCGCCCCTCGATGTGCCGGCCCTGCTGGTCGAAGACATGTCTCCGGCTCAGGCGTGACTCAAGGAAGGCATAGCAGCAGCTCTTCTCCTAGGGGTATGGATGCTTGACAGCGGAAGCATCAGGTATGTACAGTGATATGTCGCGTAATCCCCCTCCTCCAGGAAAAGAACCGCATCAATGCCCTACATGAGGTCCTCCGTCTTCCGGGGTGTAAGATCCCCTGCGGACCACATCTCTGGTGGAGGCAGCGAGGGGATGTCCTGATCGGAGTTGCCCATCGTCTGGCGCATGAAGCGCTCTCCGAGGAACCAGGCTCTGCCGACCGGTCCCTCAAGCAGAACCCTATATCACGAGGTACCCTATCCCCCAGCAAACAAAAATCGAGGATTCCCTGGCATGTCGATCCAAGGCTGCCAGGTCAGCTGTGGGTAACAAGTGCATAAATTGATTAGATATCATCAATATGCAAGATGAATCAAAGCTGAAAGCATGAATAACTGAGAGTTTTGAATTACCTCCGCTGCCCGTATAGTATCGAAGAACTGCCGGAGGTAGAGCAGAGTTTCCCAGGGCCTGGGCCGGCACCGACCCTCAAACCTGCGTGAGTAGGGGATCTCAATAAGTGCCTCTACCTCGAGCTCAGGAGCCAATGTCGGGAAATACGCATAAACCCACAACTGTGAAAGGCAAGGCAGTGGCTGTCAGAATACAGAATGTATAGGGAGTGCAGTATATAGAATGCTGAGTGCAGAATGCTGTGTGCAGTGTACAATATACAGAAAATACAGGAAATGCAGAATGCTGAGTGAAGAATGTAGAATACAGAATGTAATGTGTGTCATGCGCAGTGTACAAATATTGAAAAGCAGAAATGTAAATAAAGAGGGCAGAATGTACCTCCCAGGCTCGCCAGTAGCCAGCTACTATAGTCCCCCGTTCTCGGGAGGTCGCGCTCATGTAGCAGTAAAGGGTAGCGAGGCCCACACCACCCCAATCATACTGACTGACCTATGATAGGTCTACCAAAGCACTGAGCAGATAAAGCCCAACTGTGTTCCCCCTGTCGGAGAACAGAGTGGTCCCGAGGAGGAACATCAA